CACACGTACAACACACCGAAAACAACCGGTGACAAGTGACAAGCGATAGATTGGTTTTTTAGATTCCGTTTAATGATTACCAGAGGGTTTTGTAACACTCCTTTTCGGACAACGTTCTCATTCAGAATATTGGATCAGTTCAGTACTGTACTCTAATTTGAACACACAAAGCATTCTAATTCTATTAAAAATTAACTTTTAAGAGCCAAGGAAATAAAATGTAGATATACTAGTAGATTCTATACGCGCATTTTAAAACTACATAGTTAGACGAAAGAGGCGAAAAAACTGTCAAAAAATCTGCGTTTGATGCTCTAGTATTTTATTTTCGGTTTTTTTAATTTTTAGTCAGCTCCGGATACAGCATTACGAAAATTACTCGTCCTAAAGTATTTAAAAGTTGCTTGACGGTTTATTACGATTTTTGACATTTTCACACTTTCAAACATCTAAACAAAAATTTTTAAACTCGACTCAAGAACATCTTATACATTTTTCCAATCTTAAGGACCCTAAGAGTCTGAAAAACTTGACAACGTACTCTTATTTTTCTAAATTATAATTTCGGATAGGTACTTACGATCGATATACAGAACTATTGGTTATAGCCTCTAATATTTCGTACTTTTATAAAGCACTTTTGGTTTTTTAAATATTTTTTTATTAGATAGGTATAGAATTTATGAAAGCAGTTCCTTTAGAGCTAATATCCAGAAATATATTAGATATTTTTAACATGTAAGTGAATACTTAAGTGGTAATTATTTAATATTTCGGACCGACTAATCCTGCTTAAAGTCAATTTACATTTACGAAGATAGCGTTCTAAATCAGCGTGAAGTCAAATTTGAAGGTTTAACTACCTCAACAATAGGATAATGAAACATTTTTATTACTCTTCTTATTTACAATCAGTAAAGTCCGTCTTAGAAAATGTTCAAAGATACCGAAGCTTCGACTTTCTCCGAAAACTGTTGGAAGCCAAGCTAGGCCAAGAGAGAAATTGGCGACCTTTTGTGAGCAAAGGATAGATTAAATTTAATCTTTCCAAATGATATTTTACCGTCTTGGAAGTGGATTTGTAAATGACTCCAGCGGCAAGTTTTTTTCTTGATTTATTATTACTTTAACTAGAAAAGCGTCTAATCGCTCGATCCCATCACAAATTGTGTATATTTTTTATTGACATCCTTGTGTGTGTTCAGTGATTATGATTGGGGCGCCTGACAACAGTTTCTAGTGTGAAATTTGATCATTATTTAGCACTTGTAGTGTTCATTCTCCTAACCAAACTTATAGCACTTCACACCAGCTACCTAACACAACCATCACATCTATGACATTCTTTCTTCGAGAAATCTACATGAACTCCAACTTTAAAAAATGATCACAATATCTTTTGTGGAATCGCTAATTATTTTGATTTATTCTTGCAGTTTCAGGAAATACAGGTGTCCGCTTTGTCAACAGTGAATTAATCTCGCGCACAATGCACCAGTCCTCGCCATTATTGCACTGATGACAAAGACATATCTGTTCGCTTCAGACAATTGCTGCACTTTGTCACAGTATTTTAATATAAAATATTTTCGACTGAAAATTGATGACGGGAGATATTAGGATTCGTTGTGGCTGAGGTGAAATTGGATGGTGATTTAAAGTCATAAGCCGGCATGATTTATGAAGAGAGCATTGTGAAAATTTGCCAAAGAATAATTAAGGATAACATTACCGGGTTTTGTAAGCGCACCTTTACTTAGAACGCAAAGTACGTGAAATATAACGTGGAAGGACCATAAGTTTTACTTTACTTGTGGCTAATGGAGGTGCGAAAAAGAGATAAGCGGATCACAAATGGATTTTTCAGACAGGAATATCACCAAAGAGCAAAACGTAAAAGCAATGTTTGCATTACAAAAAAGGCCATAAATAAATGCTCTTCTAAATTTTTATTTGAAAGAAATCGACAACTTTTTGTTTTGATTTAAATACATATTATATTAAGCGTAATCTCTTAGTAATCTTTCAAAGGTTGATAAAAATCAGAGTTTTGTAAAAACCGTCATTAATTCAGTGTTAAAAAGCTCCTGGTGCAGATTAATATGTATCACGTCTGAGCGTGAGTATTGTGAAATTCCGCTTTTGAATAATGGTCCTTGTCTCATGTGAGTTTCAGACACAGTCTTCATAATTCCAGTTTATGCGAATGTATGCTTTCAATTTCAATATAATAACATTCTGTCATCTTTGTGTTGATAATTGTATGTTAGCGAGAGATAAATTCGGTAACAAAACAAGTCGAGCCACAATGTGAATCTCGAGTGAAATAATAAGATGTTGGTTATAAAGGCGCTAACTTGTCAGCTCTAGACTGAGAAAACAAACCGTTTTGATGCTGCAGTGTCTCTTATAATGTATTACGTTAATCCCAGTTTTGTCTCTCATGACTAATTCTCGCGGTTTTCCTGATCATTTATTCACGATTCACATCAAACAAATCCACCAACCGGAGCTACAAAAGCTCCTTATTTTCTCTTCGAAATCATTTACGAATGCTTTAAGCATTTTTTTCATAAAAATTGATACTAGGGAATTTTACACCCACAAGTCAAATATCTTTGCTGAGTTGTAAATGCACTTCCACCCACATGACTAAACTTTCTTTTGTCTTGCATGCAAATTGCATAAATTTCAACATGTTATTGATGGGTGATAAAAATTTATAGGCCTATAAACTTTGCAAAGGGGCAAAAATTAATTCTGGTTACAATTTTTTACAAATTCTCTTGAATACTTTGGATAGGATTTCTCAGTAAATAATAATTCGTTTAACAAATTCTCAGACAATATTATCACAGTGTAAACACTTTTCGGTTGCTTCTTTGCATTAGGAGAATTAAGATAACGGAAACTTATGGGATTACAAGATAAGAGGCATTTAAATTTTGGATTACTAGGCGGTAGCTATAAAATTGTCTACCTGGCATTTCCTAAGCTCATTACTGCAGTGCCAACACATTTCTGAAAATTTAAAGTTTTCTGGAAATTCCCAGTAAGGTCGTCTGTACTCTAGCTATTAACACAACCCCCAATTAATAGTAAGCAGATATTGTTTTGTCAAAAATTAGTTAAAATTTGAAACGTGATTTTAAATTGTTTTCCGAAGCTTGAATCAATATTAGCTTTTTCTTATTACATGTTGACAACTCTGAGTGCATTAATTACATTTATTACACCCCACCCTTCGCGTTTTCTAAGAACCCTCGTTGCACGACCGTGTTTTGTATGCAATGAATCGGCAAATCCTGCAATTTCCATTCGCAAGGAATTTCATAATTGTAAAGACATCAACACAAAAGCTAAGAAAGATTGTTTAATTCGCTACCAACAATGTACATTCTGTCAACAATCATTTCAATCACGAATGATTATCGTGTAATGAGTTTGAGTCTGTTAACCGTAATATTGGAAAATGGCAATAATCTCAAAACCTTAGAAATTATTGACAGATAAAAATATGGTTAGAGCAATTCTTCCATTGTGACATCAACAATGGCAATGTGGAAACCTTGAAGTAGTTTTTTCAACTAATTTGCATTCATTTGCATAAGTTTACAAAGGAATTGTTAATAGTTTTCTGAATTATTTTGTCACCTTTGTTCAGTTAGGAATAGAAAAACCCCAAATTAATTGTAATTTGATGCTTCAATATTGAGGCACAATTGTAAATTGTATGAACAAATTCTGCGGAGGTGTCACTATTTATCATTGATATCAACATTTGATGGTTAAAAGTACATATTTCAAAATACTAACTCTATAAACCTCCAGTTGTAACACTTTCCAAATACATACCTACAACTGTTGAAATTGATCAAACTATACATAGGTATTTAAATCGAGTTTAGATGAGTATAGTTTGTTAAACAAAATATTATAGTTTTTTGAACACTAAATTATTATTAGAAAAAATAAACTAAACAAATAAACCTAACATATAATCAGCCAAAAATTGACATTTTCTTTTACTATCGCTATTCACTATTGTTGATGTTATTAATTTTAATTAGTTTTTGCAAGCTTGCATATTTTCTTATCATGAATTATAGAACCCAGTTAAAATTAAAGATTATAATAATGTTTTGTATATTTCTTAATAAGGTATAATAGGATGCACCATTTAATTTGAAAATAGTTGTAGTTGTAGTTTTTTAGATAAGGTGATATGCTTGTACAAGTGCGTCAGTAAACCTAACTGATATTTTCGAATGAATTGCTTGATAAGGTCGTGATGTAGGGTCCACCTGTCTAAATCGGTCTATTTTTCAACAATAAATGGATTAGATATTTGTAGAGATACTAGAAAACACCCTATCTTAGTTTCCCGTTTGACAAAAGCCCTCTATCCTTCGGATTGGGGCGAACATAATGGACAATCGATCGAATGTCCGATAACATGAGTTCATTACGTGATAACGTTACCTATAAGCTCAATACCCCAATCTCAAAGATTGAATTTACTCAAACATAACGGAAGTCGTAACAAACATCAATCTGCCATTTAAAAAACCACCAAAAATAATTAATTTTCATTGTCTCGATCACTTTCAAAACGTATTGTTTCAATAAGCACCCGGTGGCACTTAAGGATTGAATAACCATTCCGTCCCTTTAAGACTTAATATAGCTTCGCACAATAGTCAAAGTCGAAAGCCACAGTATTCATTCAATTAATTTTTCAATTACTCTTGTCCAATAGGGAGCAAATTCATTATACAAAGACCAAAGAAAATCAAAATAAAAGGGTTGCAGCAGAGAGTTTCTTTGAGGACATTGTTTTTCCAAAGGGAACAAACACAATTGTGCTGTTTTTGCAATTGAAGCAGAACTTTAGCCAACTTTTTAAGCTTTTCAAACGATGTCTTAAAGCTGCAATTACTTTGCAATGTATAATGACTCCAACAGCGGCCAAGGGAAAGGAGGAAAATCAAATTACAGAATATCTTATATTAATTTTATTCTTATATACAGTGGCATACAGTTGAAACAATAAAAAATAACAAACATTTGCATTTGCACTAATTGGTAAATTAAAATTTAGTCTACAGGAATACAATCACTTTGTAATATTGACGACAGCAATAATACGGCAGCTTTTAATTTAGAAACATGAGAAATAGAAAGTCCACTAATATTAGGAAGAATTTTTATTTCTCATAAGATAAAGGTGGCCCCGCAAATAAAGGCTTAAAATTTTGATTACTTTATATTTACAAAAAATCAGTCGCAATTTACAATCACAGAACATATAAATGAAAAATTATAGTCCAATCCAATGAATGAACTACAGCACCTAACAGTATTTACAAATTTACAATAGCAATAAATAATCAACAAATCAATACATAACTGGTACTGGCCTGCGGATATCTAGCTCTGCCGAAGCCGGACTTGATGCCGGACTCGAGGAGGCCGAATACATCATGGGTGAGGTGGGTATAGTGGGGAACATCCCCATAGAGGTGGGCTGAAACGGCTTTGGCGTGGTGGGATATAAAGACGAATACAGCGACGAATGCAGAGAGGAATGTAGCGAGGAAACCACAGCTGGTTGGTGGTGGCTTTGGGTTTTCTCCGCCGAAGCCATCCTCGACATATCAAAAGCCGGGTTGAAGTAAGGATACGGCGAGGTCAAAGCCTCCATTGGGGAGAAATACTGGAGTTGTAAATTGGGAAAACCAACCCCTGTTTTGAGTGCCGTGGGCAGCGGCCCCTTGGGCTTCCTCCTGGGTCTGTACTTGTAATCCGGATGTTGTTTCATGTGCAAGGCCCGGAGCCGCTTGGCCTCGTCGATGAAGGGCCGCTTATCGACCTCCGAGAGAAGCTTCCACTCGGCCCCTAGCCGCTTGGAAATTTCAGAGTTGTGCATCTTGGGGTTCTCGAGGGCGATCTTGCGACGCTGGATGCGAGACCAGACCATGAAGGCGTTCATCGGTCTCTTGATGTGGCCTTCCGACTGGGTGGTCGGGGGCTGTTGGCTGTTGCTGAAGTCTTCCATCATGCCGGTGAATGAGTATAAATTAGACATCACAAATACACATGAACTAGTTCGAGGTTGGTGAACGACTGCTGTTGGGTGTCGGTTGTTAAAAGGTAGTTGTGTTTCAACGGAAGGCGGAGTTCGAGGATAAGAGAATCGGGAAAGGGGAAACCCCGCCTGCTTTTTTCTCTATTGGCTGTTGCCACCCCACTATTCTACGGGGAAAACCACACTTCATTATGTATTTGTTTTGGTTTTTTCCTTGGTAGGTGCACCGTACTGTACCTACTCATGCTGTGGGTATCTCATTCTCAGATTTGTTTGAAAATATTTTATTGGAATTGCGTAAACATTTAAATGTGGTAAACACGCAATAATCATTTTTCAATACAGGATTTGTAAAGAGATGCCCGACAATTTTTATCATGGATCGAACAATAAATACTAATTAGCACATAACACAGGTCAGAAAAACAATTGTTTTTTACAAAATTTACTATCAAAAGTCACACAGCAAAAACCTAAGAAGTTTTAAATTGGAATTGAAATAGGCAAGAATAGACAGGAAGATTGTTTTTGCTTTTTTACAATATTCAATTTTATTATTTCATGGTGAATATACTTTGATGCTTTTAAATAGTCTACTGCTGGACAAAATATCGATAACTATATCTATTATTTTCGGCATTTTAGTCATTACTTACAGGTGCGCCAAAACTTGCGCCCCAGAGAAAAATGTAAGGTACGATACCCGGAACATGGAAAAAATGTTAAAAAAAATTCTACTTAGAGAAATTTCGAAGTTATGAGAGTTCATTTTTGCACTTTGACTTCATTTATTTCTGTTGTAAAAAAATTTATTCAAGTTTCTTTGCTACAGGCTATTAGAAAAGGAAACAAGGAAGTTGTATCCTAAATTGTAACTCTGTTTAATGTTATTTGTGGCTTTTATTACCAAAATTTTTGTACCTTTACAATAATTATTAAAAAAATATATGTATACAAGATCATTAGTAATTAAAATAAATAGTCAACAAATGTCAAATGACAGATAGAATTTTTTTATGCTCCTGGTATTTTATTTTACTTGAAATTTTTCTCTGAGGCGCGGGTTCTGAAAATTGCAGACAGTTTTTTTGTATGGGCAGGTAGATATGTAACGTAGGAATATAGGTCTTAACCGAGGTCTTAGCAAACATCAGGCATACCGATAAAAACATGTGTATATTTGATATTTTTTCTTTATTACATATTAAATAAGTTTTAAAAAAACAATTATATTTTACCACAACGCCAAAGTGATAATAAGAAAATAATTCTAGTTTTATTTTGTGATATGCTCATGCAGACATTTTCTTCTAAGGTCACTATACCTACGTATATACAGGGTGTTTCGTTTTTATTGATACAAACTTAAACAGGTGATAGAATATTTAATTTTAAGACAAAAGTTTCCTGTGAACATGTATCAAAAAATGTTAGGGTAAACTTGGTATAGATGCCCCCTTGGGATATATGGCCACTTATTTAAAAATTGCGCGTTTGCAGTAGCTTTTCTGCAGTTTGGCCATCCAATTTTTGGTGTGTTATATTTTAGGTGTTAGGCAAAACCTAAACAGTTTTCTTGCTTCAGTCACTCTTCTAGAGTGACAAAATGCCACGAAAATACGTTCGGAAGCCAAATTGTAAGCCCCGAGCTCTTTGGACAGAAGAAGATTTAGGCCAAGCTATCTTAAGTTGTAAAAATAAGGAATTAAAAATAAAAGAAGCATCCAGGATCTACAATATTCCTCCCAGAACGTTGCGTCGTCGATTACTGTCAGGAAATATAAAGAAGGGTCCTTTAGGAAAATTCCAGCTCTCGGGATTGAAAATGAAGCAAAACTTGTGCTTCATATAAAGAAACTAGAAAAAGCTGGATTTGCACCAAATATAACAACAGTACGTACACTAGCTTATCAACTTGCTAGTAAACTTGGAATACAAAATTTGTTTGGAAAAGAAAAGGATAAAGCTAGATATGCCTGGTTTTATTCTTTTATGGAAAGACATCCTGAATTATCGGTTAGACAAAGTGAAGGCCTCTCAGTTGCTCGAGCCAAAGGAATGTGCCGAGAAGAAATCGAAAATTTTTTTGATATTCTCGAAGAAACTTTAATTGAGCACTCTTTACACGACAAACCGAAATGTATCTTTAATATGGATGAGACCGGTGTTCAGTTATGTAATAAACCAGGAAGAGTAATAGCAAGTAAGGGAGCTAAGGTGGTACATACTCTTACTTCGAGTGAAAAAGGTGAGAGTATAACAGTTGTGGCCTGTTGCAACGCTAATGATGGTGATTTTCTGCCTCCTGCTTTAATCATGAAAGGTGTTAAAAAAAATCATGAGCATTTAATCGGTTTACCTGAAAAGTCCACTATTTATATGAATAAAAAAAGTTCGTTTATAACGACGGAAATCTTTATGGCTTGGCTGAAAGAATACTTTGTACCTAATAAATAAGGAGATGGACCAGCATTACTTATTCTAGATGGTCATACTTCACACACAAACTCCTTAGAAATTTTGCAATACGCAGAGGCAAATAACGTAATTTTGATGTGTCTCCCGAGCCATACTACTCAACTCCTCCAACCTTTAGATAAGTCATTTTTTAAACCATTTAAAGATGAAGTTAAAAAAGAACTAAATAGCTGGATGAACAAAAATCAAGACAGAAAAATTGGAAGACGCCATGTCGGGGCTATAGTTGGAAACGCTTGGAAAAAAGCCGCTACGAATCATAATGCCTCTTTTTTGTGAAAAACAATGGAATTTAGAATTTTGAAGCTGAAAGTAGCAAAAACCAACCGCTAAAATAGTTAGGGTTCTTTTTACCTTAAGCCCCCCAGTTTAGGACGCCCCTGTGTAAAAATTTCTTTCTTTGAATTCATTTGGGTGTATAAAGGTTATCAGTTGTACCAAATTTTGTAATTTTATCCACGATGGTTTCTGAAATATTGGAAAAAATCCATTAAAAGATGCACCCCTTTCAGGGGATGTGGCTCCCTTATATAAAATTTTTCGATATACGTTTATAGGAAATTTTTCTCTTAAAATTGAATATTCTATCATCTGGTTAAATTTGTAACAATAAAAATAGAACACCCTGTATAGCTGATTATGTATATCAATACATAAATGTTTACTATGAAAGATTTGCGGTACCTATTTATTTTTAATTTTGTTGCTTAGTGTGGAGGATTTCTATCCTTTGATAAAGCAAAGTGTGTCGAATGTATTTTTATGTAGCGCTTTTGCAAATTTGTTTCCGCTATGTTGTGTAAAATTTTTGTTCCAAAATAGCACAAACTTTTGATTGGATCGATTGTGTGTCGAATGTGGCATTTTGTGAACGATGATGCGCTCTGAAACCAGTTCGAATCCATAATCTGAATAAGTCGAAGTCGTTTGTGCCTTTAAAAATGAATTAAATTCAACCGAAAACGTAAACTTCCCAACTCGACAAAACATTTTCTAATACAAGCGACTGTGCCTTGGAGTGCACAAGTGTAAATTTTCATCATAATGGTGAATCGTCGGCTTTTCAATCGAATTCTGTACACAAATATCTGCAACATACAAGCACCCACAGTGGATATATTGAAATCTTTTCAATTGCTTTGTAAATTCAGACCACACAATGCACCATTTGTGTATTTTATTTGTAGCAGTCCACGTTTCTTATGCCGGGGAAATGGGTTACATTTGTTGGATTAAAGATTTTCTGTATGGGAAAAATCATTCAGTTATACAGTGAATTCTCTCTTGCAACATATCGCGGCCCCTATGACCAAAGACGTCACCACCATGTACTCCCACCGGCCTAATTTGCCCCCCTGGTGGCCGCAGCACCGCCCCATCGTTTCCACTGTCTATAATTTAGGCCATCAAACCCAAAAAAATTATTTTACACCCCTTGATGAAAATGTCAGCTCTTGTACTGAATTCACTGGACGGTTGATGTAGCAAGGACATAGGACTTTTGTGACCCCAATGTGCCTATTACATTGTTAACTGTAACGGTCACAATACCCTTTTGTTTTCGCACAGTTCGGGTTTATTGTAAACAGGGCCGGAATTACAATGGCCTTCACTCACATACACTACGACAATTCGGTACTCATAGACTGATATTGCGGTTAAGTTATGTAGATAAGAAGTTAATTAGCTACGAATTTGGGACACGTTTGCTAGAAAATGACTTGTTAGGAATTGCCTTTTTTGCATTATTCGGATTATGTTGAGCCCACACGCATTATACCTAATGCAAAATATTAAACATTGTTTACATTAATACTGCAGTGGCGCAGTGAGGAGGGGGTTTTGCCCCACAGGCAAAATTATTTTGTAGTGGTAATAAAACTAAAATTATATTTTAGAAACTAACAAATTAAACATTCAAATTTGGTATACAATTATTTAGGATACTAACTTCAGAAGATTCACAACTTTTTGCTATTTTTATTTTGTAAATTGTACTTCAAATGTTATATAGTGTGTTTATGCATAAATATGTAAAATTAAAATTAGAAGTTACAGTTGAATTAATATTTTGAATGTTTTTAACTTTATCAGCAATTTTCTCGATAATTATTTAACATAGGACAATTAGGTATTGTTTTTTTTTATAAAAAAAATAAATTTGTTTTCCAATGGTACTAAACAAAAAGGAGTAGCGTAAATAATTCAGAAGTTATTAGCAAAAGTCGCCCCGGATACCAAAAATCGACCCAAATTTCGACTAAAATCGAAAAAATAAAAAACGTCAAAATTGAAATTTGCATTCTTGGGGGTTCAAGAAATTTAGAAATGTACAAAAACGTTGTAAAAATGCAAGAAATAAATTTTTGAAAATTTTTGTGTAAGTGCTCTTTGTGACACTGTTTTTAGAAACATTTTATGCTACATTTTTATATATACCATTGAATGTGCATACTGTGAAAAATTGTTATATAGTAGATCAATGTGCAATTTAAGCTATTTTCAAGCGTAATTTTGACGTATCTGTTAACTAAAATGGATAAAAAT